ACTCATGATGCTGGGCTGGCATTATTATTCTCCAGCCTGTGTTCCCTGGAGATTTTTGGTTTAATTCATTGGCTATTTAACACTATATCCTCCTAGAACTCTATAAAGTGCAAACTAACGTTCAGCACAACATCTAAAACTATATTACTAACGAGAACGGTTGAAAAATTATTAGAAAGAAATCTCTAGGGCTCAGAAATCTATTAAAATTTCAGAAGACTAACTGAAGAGACTTATTTATGTGACAGAACTCTAAAAATTTTTTTAAATTAGTGTCAGTGTTATTTCCTAGTACTCACAGCAACCAGAACATGATGCCTCAAATATTGCTTGAGAGTCCAGTATGCATTTTTAAACTACCCTTAAAATTGTAATTACATACCAATATACCACTAAGTAGTGCTAGTTTGTGCTAACATACCAATTCATTGACTTTTGCGTAAAGATTTACTTCTCATAGTGCTTAAAGGTAAGCTAGTTCTGAGGCATGGAGACAATCCCCTCCTCGTCTGGCTTACATGATTTATTCTCCGTGAAGAACCTTTTTTCATAAATAGTAAAAAATTATTTTTCTGCTCAGCAGGTCAAGGCCTGGAAATTTAATTTATTCATATTTATGTGCCCAATGCCTAGAAAACTTCCTGGCAAATAATAGGTATTTGATAAATGTTAATTGAGTCCAATTACCCCAAATCCTAAATGTGTAGGAATTAATAACATTTTACTGCATACAAGTCTTTTTGAATTTACATTTTATAAAACTAAGATTACAAGTCGTTTAAATACTCATCAGACTGTGAAGCTGTTAAATTTTCCACTTAGAAAGCCCAGCTGTATATTACAAATGTATTTACTGTATCATAAGTGTCTACTAAATAGAGTTTCAGGAGCCTTAGATGACGCTTAGATGAATCAGCAGTGGAAGATACTGATATTGATAAAGCATTGTTTCAAATGTCCAAGCATACTATTTGTCAGTCTGTTAAATTCCTAGGCATTAAGGTACAACAAGATCTAGTCCCATGAAAGTAACTGGAGTTGGAGGAAAAACCAAGACCTAGCTCTTGGTTTTTCCTCTTTTTTCAGAAGTTACAAAGAAGCACTCTAATGATTTCAAGAAAAATACATCAACTAGGAATTGAGTCTCTGAATTGACTCGGGGAAAAAAATTAAGGTATGCAAGGTCTCAGATGGTATTTTTTCTGTGGTATTGGAATAAAGGAAGTTGTTAGCATGCACACTGATTACCTCATCTGGTTCTATTAATTTAACCATTAAAATTGAAAATGGTAGAACACCGTATCCAAAAAAACCAAAGTTTTCAAATAGAGGTAGAAGCAGTCAGAAAGTTGAAGACTAGGAAATTCATAGAAGAGATTAAAGAGGAAAAAATATTCTAAAATCTAAGAAAGGAATGTAACAGTGGCTATATAGCCCTTTGTTAGTAGCCAGTTTTCTTTTTTCCTTCCCTTCTCTATGTGTAAAACAACACAAATAAAAATATGAGTATTACATAATGTAGATGCTGATAAATTTAATTTTCCTCACTATACATCAGGAGAAATGTTAAGTGAATTACATAGATTCCTACCAAATGTTTAACGCTATTACATAATGCTCAGTCTTAAAATGTTCATGTCTCTATTCTGCAAAACTAAAAATTATAATTCTTTTATAGGACATCATAACTTTTCTGTGCTGTGGGGGAAAAAAAACGAACATACAAATATAACTAATTATGTTTATAATACCCTAAAATAAAGATACTTTTTCCATTAAACTACTAAAAGGTACATAAATATTTGTCATTACATGAACCTAGATTTTGTGTTAAAAATTTGCCTAATTGCTTTTTAAAATAAAGTGAGTATATTAAATTGGATATCTTATATCCTTCATTTTGGCCTAGTTGGAAGAAAAATCTCAGTGGCTTATGTCGGTGCTTCAGATTATGAGGGAAAGTAGAATGCCATATATTGTCCATAATTTTGCTATCTTTGATTCTTCTATTTTAAAAATCAGTGCTGCTAAGGGCTATGGCAAGAGTAGATTTTAATGCAAAGTTAACACTACCAGAATAAGGCATTCCCAGAAAATAATTAATGGTACATTTTGAACACTTCTGCCAATTATAAACACAAGCATATTTTAATTAACCAATAAGTAGTTATTGATTACCAATTAATGCAGGGCTTTGTGGGAGAAACAAGTATAAGACATGTACTAAATCCATTACAAATATCGAGTGGTACTCAATCCGCCCTTTAGAATACCCCCTTCGTGACAGCCAAATGTGTCTGAGGAACATTTGAAGATGGACAAGAACAACCATGGGGCATTTTATTTTGCAAATTTTAAAAAAAGCAATTTTCTAAGAACAAAAGGACTGCATCTGGCTTAGCAAATTTATAAAGATAGTGCTGTACTGCCCTCATTTTTTTATTGTAGTTCAAGACTTCTTCCCACAATAGCTTATTGTGCACATTACAAAGTCTTCAGGGTCTTCAGAATTAAAGCAACAGAGTTTTTTTTTTAAGCACACTTGAGAATGGATCATTCTTCCTTACTCTTAATAAAATATGCCCTCACAGACTTCTCCAATAATTCTAGTCATCTTGACAAAAGAAAATCACCAAGACAATACAACGATTTTACAAAGAGAAAGAATGACAGTTTCCCTTCTACTTTTCAAAAATGTTTTAAAATATGATTTGAGATTGCCTTTATTCAATAGGCTGAAAGAGGAATCAATTTTTACAAAGTGACACTCTCTATAATAAAGAACACCTACACTTCTCAACAACACACCCATTCCCACACATTCACAATGTTAGTATTATTACCATTAGAATCTTTTCCAGAATAATTTTCTCAAAAGGAAAATATGGCTTTGTTTAAAACAAACTGACAATACCAGTTAAACAAACAATAAAACAGAAAGGGTCAAGGGTTTGGTTTTTATTCTTATTTCTGCAAGTCTGGTGAAAGTTCTTGCCTTCACAAATGAGACTGACATTCTGCCTATCAATATTTCATTTATCTAACAAACATCTTGTGTGCCGCTACTATGCACCAGGGTGCTGGTTACATAATAGCCCAAATCCATAAGGTCCCTGCCCTCACAGAGCAGATGGATTTAAACAATGAATCCCACAAACAAGTACGTAACTATTTACTATAAGAACAATGAAGGAACACTACTGGGGGTCAGGAGAGGAAAATAGGAAGACCGAATTTAGATTGGAATTAATCATTGTAGGCTGGGGCTTGAAAGATGCCCCCAAATTTGCGAGATGCAGAGCTAGAAGACGAGAATCCCAGAGGGCGTGTCCGAGAGGAAGGTCTTGGGTTTTGCCTTCCCAAATATTAACAAAGCAGCAAGCTAAAGTGCAAGAAACAACAGCAAGGAAAGGGGGCTGCCCCTCATGAGAGGATTCTGATTTTCACCTAAGAGGAGTGGCAAGTTACTGAAAGATTTAAGCAGAGTAATACCATGTTATTATGTTTTATAGAGATTTTATCTACTGTTTGAAGAACAGATTTGGAAGGCCTGGGGGATGGGGGGGTGGGGGAGTGCGGGGGTGGGGGGTCATCTCAGAGCCAAAATTCTCCAGCTGAATTTCAGATTCTTCCGCCAAATGACCCATCACCTCTCCTTACTTCCTTCTCTACAGTGTCCAGCCACACAGTATAACACATCATTCTGAATCTTACTCTCACACAGCGTTTGGCTATGCTTTTCTCTCTGACTACTCTGCTCCCTTCTTTACCAGTTAAAAACCGCAACAGGCTAAAGGAGACCTCCCTGACGCAAAGTCCAATGCCTCCATGAAGATTTTTCACTACTTTTTTTTCTAGTGAAATATATATATATATTTTTAAGTAGGTGCTACACCCAGCACGGAGCCCATAACATGGGGCTTCAACTCACCACCCTGAGATCAAGACCTGAGCTGAGATCTGGAGTCAGCTGCTTAACCAACTGAGTCACCCGATGCCCCCTGCACCCAGGGGCCCTGTTTCAAATGTGCAACAGGAAATAAGTCCTGAATAAGGAACTGATTTTGGCTTGAACTGCCTATGCTTCAGTTGTTTGCTTCCTGAAATAACCCAGTATACAGCTACTCAGCCTCAGAAACATACACTCAAGTCATGGGCTAAAAACCATTGGTAAAGAGATTTTTCTTTTTACATCTTTAGTAAACTGTAAAATTTGATTTAAAAGACAATTTTCAATTATTTTTTGTGCTGTGGATATAAATCGTATTTGCACAGATACATACCAACAAGACATTGCAGTTAGTTAATTCTTTTTATTTCCATGCTTACTAATCTCTCGCTAGTTGCGGCGAAAAGGCATGAGGATGTCTGATGAAATATATTTGACCCGACAGACTTTAAGAATGAAAAAGAGCTAAGTCTGAATTTAGAGAGCCAAACAATACCTATAAAGTTACATTTTTCACCTGAAGCTGCCCTACATAGTTTCATCTAGAAGGAACAACCAGATTGACTCAGACACGAAGTTTGTTACATTACACTTGAATTTATTGTTTATGCTGTACCTACTTCCAAAGGGAATTATGACTTCCTTTAAATGGGAATAGTGAGTAACTATCCCCTGCAACCTGCTGGAAGTGTGGCTCCTCCCTGAAACACCCCATACAGAGTAGCCGACTGATCTAATGGACTCAGACCTTGGGATTTGGCTGCAATCCGGTCAACAAATGCAGACAAACCATAATCGGTCACATGCACGATTGGGGGTTCTAAAACATCATTCTGTCTGGGAGAAAAAGCCCAACACGGAAAATAAGGGATTTTTATAACTTTGACGACACGTGACTAATGCAGTATCTTCAAAATAATTTTACTGCAATCATTTCAGGAAGAAAATATCACCCATATTGACTCAATGATGAAATTTTGACTAAAGGAAACTTCTGAAACAAGCTGACATCTTAGTCTGATGTCCCCAGAGGAATCAGGTCATCGCTTACCTTGATCTCTTTCATGCCATGTTCGGCTTCCAGCAGCTGGTGAATTTGGAGACGGATAGAAGTCTCCTGTAGGACTTGGTTCCATATTTTCATCTATGGATATAGTTTTGGGTCTTTTGCTGTTAAAATATGACAACAGTTGCATTAATGGGATGTCTAAGGGGGTGTGTAGCAGGTGAAAGTATATAATTTGAGAAGATTCTTAGTATGAAAATTTCCAAAAACACAAGTAATAGCATCTCAGAATCATTTCTGAAATAATGGAGAGTGTTCCAGACTTCAAAAGAAGTAGCAAACACTTCTAGTTGTATATGTCATTTATTACACTTATACCTGTACCTGCCTAACGATAGGGTGCTTATTATATTTACCTTTTGAAATGTGTTTCCAAAGAAACTTCTGTAGTAAAAAGTGAATCTTTGGTGTGATATGTGTACTAACTTTAAAATTATTAAGATTGCACCCGACTCTTATCATTATTATCAATGCTAATAATATATATTAGCATAGTGCTTGCCATACCAATGTAATTCTTTTATACTAATTCAAACATAAGGCGAAGGAGTCCGTAGAACATGAGCTTTGGAGTGGAACCAGCCTAGTAGCAAATCTTGACTAGTCCACTCACTACTTCTTAAGAGTAAGCTCCTTAACCTTTCTAAACTCAGTTTAATCATTTGTAAAATGGAAATAATAAAACCTAGTTCAAAGAGGAGTGGTTGAGAGGATTAAATGTAAAGCTCTTAGTTAAGTGGCTGGCATTTAGAAGATACTTATTAAGTAGTAATTATTATTAGTAACCATATAATTAATAATATAAAAATTTTTGTAGGACTTTATTGATTTTAAATTATTTCACATATTCTTCTTTATATTTTTTCTAAAAAATTAGGTTATGATCTTTTATTCTCAAGAAAATAGGTCATTGCCAAATTCAAACAAACAGTATACTTTTAGTTTATTTTAAAGATTTTCTTTATTTGACAGAGAGAGACACAGAGAAAGAGGGAACACAAGCAGGGAGAGCGGGAGAGGGAGAAGCAGGTTTCCTGACGAGCAGGGAGCCCAATGCAGGGCTCAATACCAGGACCCTGGGATCATGACCTGAGCCAAAGGCAGATGCTTAATGACTGAGCCATCCAGGCGCCCCCACACAGTATACTTTTAGAATGATACATTGTAGGGATGCCTGGATGGCTCAGTTGGTTAAGAGTCCGACTTTTGATTTTGGCTCAGGCCATGATCTTAGGGTCGTGAGACTGAGCCTTGCATTTGGCTCCATGCTGGGTGTGGAGCCTGCTTAAGATTCTCTCAATAAATAAATAAACAAACAAACAGATAAATAAAATAATTTAATAAAGAAAACATGGCTCAACCCAGTTATTAAGAAAACTGAATATTTAGGGCAGAGATTAAAAAGCTATGTCATGGGGGCACCTGGATAGCTCAGTTGGTTAAGTGTCTGACTCTTCATTTCGGCTCAGGTCATGATCTCAAGGTTGTAGGATCAAGCTCTGTGTTGAGCTCTGTGCTGGGCATATAGCCTGCTTAAGATTCTCTCTCTCCCTCCCCAAACCACCCACCCTCCTGCCCCCGTGCTCAAAAATAAATAAATAAATAAATAAAAATTAAAAGCTATGTCATGGCATAGGCCATCTTGCATGATATACTCCTACATATATTCCCATCAATACCCTATTAAACAGTCAATTATGACTATGAAAATGGATTCTTTTCCTTAAATTAAAAAAAAAAGAAAAACCTTATGTACATCTCTACAGGTAAAAATCAAAGACAGATATCTTCTGAATTAATTTTGTGCAGTGATAATAAATATGTCATAGGATTTCAGAGTTGGAACTGACTTCCTAAGTCCTATCCGTAAATCAGTCCTCCCTTTTCTTACAAGTGGGGATACAAATTCGGAGAAATTCAGTGAATTCCCAGGGCATGTTAGTGGAAGCAGTCTGCCACAAAGTAAGGACTTCTGACTTCCAAGACTGTGTTCTTTTTGCTGCACTGTTTCCAAATCCTAGAAGCCTGTGTACATCTGGAATCCTAGAAGCATGGGTACGTATTCACAGAGGTACTTGTGATTAATATTTGACTCACAACTCCCAGAGTATTAACATGATGTAGAAGATAGCAGTTTTTATCCATGTGAAACCACAATGGGAGTAAATAATAGTCCTTTAATTTATTCCTATGGTATCCAAAGTTAGAATGCATGGTTTTTTTAAACTCTCCTTTAATCTAATTCTCTCAGCTGTGAATCAGTAGTAAATATGTACAGAAGACTTAAACTGAGAGAGAAAAGTTTTTCATAAGGAAATAATAGGGGTGCCTGGGTGGCTCAGCCGGTTAAGCAGCTGCCTTCGGCTCAGGTCATGATCCCAGGATCCTGGGATCGAGCCCCGCATCGGGCTCCCTGCTCAGAGGGGAGCCTGCTTCTTCCTCTCCCTCTGCCTGCCTCTCTGCCTACTTGGTCTCTCTCTCTCTCTGTCAAATAAATAAATAAAATCTTTAAAAAAAAAGGAAATAATAGAGAAATGTTTTTGAAACCTTCTAATGGCATAACATCTGAAACCAAATGACTATGAAGAAAGATCTGTGTTGACAACATACTGATCCATCAGACCAAATAGAAACGTACTATTCACATTTCAAATTTAGAAAAACTAAAGCATTTTTAAGACCCAACCATGTCATAGACAATCTGAGTGACAATAAACCAAAATACTTTGCTATGTAACTTGACTGTATGAAGACACAGTTTGACCATAAATGATATAAAATTGAACTTAGTTAATAAACATAAAAAGTGCACAGCCCCAAAATTAATTCAAATGCAATTGACTTTCATTATTGAGAAGAGCACAGGAAAATAATTACCCAGATATTCTTTCATTCTTAAAAAAATGGATCTTATAAAATGAAATGTTTTGCTCTGCAATTCATGTACGCTCTTACCTTTGATCATGGGTATATGTAATGCTCTGAAAATGAGATGGATCTTCATGTACTGAAGATCCAGCTTAAAAAAAAACCCAATAAAGCTATAATATTTATTCATCTTAGTTCTCAGTAACTCAGTCCTCTTCTAGCATCCAGTGACAGTGGAACATATCATTACTAAATCCTGCGCAAACAACTTTCCAAGCTGTTTATCCCTCATTTAAATAGAAAACCTCTTTTTAAACTTCTGTGGGATTCAAAGTTACAATCAGAAAGTCAAGAGAGAAAAGTGAGAATGTTAACAGGGAACTAAAAAGTACAGTAACCTCACTGTAGCTCTTCCCCCTCAAAGGCTGGTCAAACCAAATCTCAGAGCAGGTAATACTTTCATTGGTGACTAAGAATCAACTAAATTATTAAAAAAATACCGACTCACTGAGGACATTAGCAAAGTGTGGCCTAGAATAAGATCTTTACTTTTAAGGTTAAGTAGATGACACATATTATTTTGCACGTTTTATTATACCCAGCTTGGATGTGATATTAGGGTAGAAATTACCAGGATGGATCAATCTATAGACAAGGGCTCTCTGCCATGACAACACTGCTTTTAAGTCACTAAAAGATTTAGTGAACTTGTAGAATTCTAATATTTCATAGAAAAGAATAAAATCATACTCATATTTTTATATGAAGGGAATATAATTCCCTTGTCCCACCCAAAAGATGTTTTTAATGTTTTGAACAATTCCATTTAATTTTCAAATAAAATAAATTTAACCAGGTAAGAGTAAAAATTTATGTAGAATCAGCAAAACTTCTTGAACTCTTGGCTTTGTTTCCCCGATTGCTTTATCCACCTACCTATCTGCATATCTACCTCTCTACCCAGCTGCTTATAGACTGAGAACAAGTGTAACTCCTCTTTCAGTTACCTGCTTGGTGGAGAAGACAGTGACCTCTGAAGATTGACCCCCGAGTTCATGTCATGATAGTAGGGTTGGCTCGGGATTTCTCCAATTGGGAAGTTGACTCCAGTTCCCTGGGTTATGGGCGCTGAGGAATAAAACAGAAAGAAACATCAGGAATGACTTTTACACTGGTCATCTCTATTTCAATGTAATAATCTAATACGTTCCACACCTCTGGGCAAACTCTCTTTACCCTGAGATTCTAATACCAACCGTCCACCAGGGTACGACTTGGAGACCTCCTCAGGATGCCAGTGTTCAAGTCTGGAAACTTGAGGCACTCAGACTATAATCATTGGTTACCATTTTCCCTATTCCCACTCTCCAACCTTCTTCACTCACTCCTTTGTATCAGTTTTTACTACATCTGTCACCACACTAGTCTATAGATGCGTCAGAGGAAACAACATGTTTCCTATTGCTCAGCACCAAACAAGGTGCTTTGTATTAAGTTGGTTCTTTTTTTTTTTTTTAAGATTTTATTTATCTGAGAGAGAGAGAGAGAATGAGCGGGGGATGGGGAGAGGGAGAAGCAGGACCCCCCCCACCCCCATCCCAAGCAGGGAGCCCAACAAAGGGCTCAATCCCAGGACCCTGGGATCATGACCTGAGCCAAAGACAGATACTTAACTGGCTGAGCCACCCAGGTGCCCTCTAAGTTGGTTCTCAAAAACCAAATCGCTGTTAATGAAATTAGAATATTAACATGGTAAAACGCATTAGAAATCATATGAATAATTACTTGGTATAATGAATTCTTATATTAGGACAGGTACACAAGTAAAGTTGACAAATGTGAAGTAAGAGCCAAGTTTTTGTTTTCCCAAAATACATATTCAAGTTCAATATATGAATAGTTAAGTGTGGCTTTACTCAATAGTCATGATTTTTTTTAAAAAAAGTTTGTATGCCCAACTTTATAACAATCACTTATAATGTATTCATGAAAAAAAATTAAAAATAAATAAATTATTTATTAAAAAATAAAAATAAATAAAATGTACTCATGGAGTTTTATACTTTAAAGTATTATTTTGTAAATCAAGAAATCTTTTTGACTCTGCTGATATAGTATGAACTGAGATTCTTGTATGTAAAAGTTTTGGTTTTTGTATAATGGTTTACATATATTCAAATTTAAAAAAATTGTTTCTGGACATCTTGAATAGATTTGTGAGGCAGCATGTTGTATTAGAAGGGGTAGAGTCTTGGGAGGTAGCCATTTATAGTTTGAACTCTCTCTGCCGCTTCTGAGCTATGTGCCTCAGTTTCCCAAGCTACAAAATGAGAATACCAGTCACCTACCCCGTATGATTATTTTGAAGATGAAATAAGATAAGGAATAATAAGGAGTGATAAAAGCCCAGCATCGTGCCTACTGCATAACAGTTATTCACCAAACGTGAGATCCGTCTCTCCTTGATTTCTTCCCCACATCTCTTCCCTGGCAGCCTGGAGTGGTTAGCAAAGGGTGAACAGTTCAAACCATGCTAAAAGCAGACAAAGAGTTATAAATGAACCTATTTGTTGAAAGTCTGTTCCTTCAACAAGTTGTTTATGTCCATTACTGGCAGGTGCTGCAAGGGATACAAAATAGTCTAAGATAGTTCCTGTCCTTAACAAAACAGATTGGGTAACAAGCTGGGTAAACAAAACACTCCTGAAAAAATAGAAATACCAGCATAATGCTGATTATAATGAAAACAGCCCAAGTGAATGACAGCACCAATAAATGCTATGGGATTTCATGAGAAGAAGAACCCAATACAGGCTTGAATGATCCAAGAACTCTCTGGAGAACCCAGAGCTTGCACTGGACTTTGGAGAATGAGTAAGGTCTTAAGGGGAGGTCATTCTCAAAAGGGTTTCTACAAGAGCAATATCTCGGGCAGAGATAATATGCAAGGAGAGACCAGGCAGGCTGGTGTCAAAAGACAGTGCTGAAGAATTAGTGTCTTGCTTTACCTTTTTTATCCGGCCTTCAAAAGCTCTAATGAGAGAAAGTGTGTCCTGGGGCTATGGCAACAAAACTCTAGAGCCCTTGTGATTCACTCTAAGAACATATAGTCTACTTAATTTTCCTCTCTTCCAACTGCTTCAAACTGAATACACGATTCCAAAAGGACTGCAGATTTTCAGGGAATTTTTCTTCCCCAGAATTTTGATGTGTTCACTACATGTGTCCGCTGTCAGCTGAACTGTATGTCAATAGCAGGTCGGTCAAGATTTACTTAAAATATTTTTAAGAAAGTACGATTAGGAAGCACATGTGTTATTGCAGAGAAGTAATCAAAGAATATACGATGAATCTCTCTCTTCCCCTATTAAAAATTAAATCAATATATACAAGATTAGTCTCAGCTCCAAACTTCTGGAGTTTATGCCTTCTATTAAATTATTCTTTTTATATAATGTACTTCAACTTCATTTTAATAGAAAGTATTTGTATTCAATGGGTAACTATGCCAAATGGCTTGAATTCTTTGGGCAGCTAAAATGTAACTGTTTGTTGTGGCTTGAGGTACACCGGAGGTTTAAAAAAAAAAAGCAAGGTAAGAAATCCCACAGTAACCACATGCTTTCAAGTTTATTATTAGAACCATGTTCTATGTGACATTGGAAAGCAGGGTATGTGCTAGAAGGAGGCATTTGAGGGACTCAGGGAAAGTCAGTAATCTGTCCAACCTTCTGCAACAGTAATGGATACAATTCAAAGAACTGAATTACTAACAGGAAACTTACAGGTTATAACTTATGTAAAGTACTTGCAATTTATGAAGCTCATGCAACATTTAAGCAAAGATCTGTAGTTTCTCTTTCATACATATGGCTTAAGAGTCAACACAGATTGCTTGGCCATAAACATACTAGAAGAAATTTATAGTAAAATAATAAAAAAAATCTTTGGAAATTTTGTTTTTCTAAATTCTCGTGCAGAAGGATTATTACAGACTATCAGGACAGCAATCAAAATAATTTATGCACAGATTTATACGTGAGCATTGCAAAAATGTAATGTGCCTTCGGACATTAAAGGGGAGAGTACAAGAAGAAGAGTAGATTAATAATAAACCTGGCCAAATTCTAAAGCAGCACTCACTAAATGTATTTAATAATAAAGAGAGTATGTGAGCATGGCAAGTCGGAGGCTGATATTCCTGTTTAAAAGCCTCTGGAAGAACTTACATCAGACGCAAAGATCAGCGTTAGCACCTCTCCTGGAGAGCTGCAAAGTCTGAAAGCTGCAAATCATGTTTAAGAGGCTGCCAATATCCTCTTAGAAATGAAGCTCCAAAGAACCTCAGATTGTAAGGGTTAGAGGCCAACCCTTAATCTCTCTTATTGTTCTTCTCACTCCAAAAGCTGATCCTAAATCAACTTTCAAGATGGAGATAATATCATTCAACAGAAAGATCACTATCCTAAAACTGAGGAGCTTCATTAGCTAAAGTCAACAGACACATTAGCGGGTCATTTGATAGTCAAACCCTGGAGGCCAGAAACCATTAACATACTGTAAACCCTCAAGAAGTCAGAATTTGTGATATACAGCATAAGGGTGTGCTGAAGTTTCTGCTTACTTAGCAAACCCGTATTTCATAAACAACGAAGTTCAATTGTGTAAATAAGATTATGATGTGGATATATTAAAACACTTAGGAGAATAATTTCTCAAGCATTTCAGGGACACCTATTTACATACAGAGTAGAAAATAAATGTTTGCTGAATAAATTAATGAATGAATATAGGTAATATACTAATTACAGATCAGTAATGTGTGTTGTAACAGGTAACTTAAAAACCTCTAAGAGAGGATGGTATCAGTTTAAAAAGAATGAGTCAAGTATATTAAACCTACCTCACTTTTGAACTGTTCTGGAAAGCTGTCTTTTAAATATTTATGTGTAAATTCAGATTTTTCAAAATATCACTCTGGGCTTTTAAAAGTTCTATGTGGCTGCCCATCTAGAGCATCTAGCATGATGTTACCTATAATGAGGAACTGAGAGTATTTTCCAACAGATGCCTCTTCGGTCCTTCTCATGAGAAGGAGGAAATATAGCATGAAATTTAGGAAAAGACAAATTTAAACAAATAATGTTATAATGTCTCATAACTGTAGCAGAACAGTGTAGGGAAAAAAACATCCCCCCCACACACACACCACCACCCCCCCCCACTTTCAAATTCCCCCTTCCTTACATGATGCCAGAAAGTGGTAGTGAGTAAGTCAGGCATGTTCCTTTCCGAATTAAAAATAAACACAGAAAACTTTCAAATGTCAGAGGCCTTCCATACCACATTATTGATTGGGAAAAACATGCAAGGCTCATGGCAGAATGGAGAAGACCATCAGAATCCTCCTCTTCAGCAAACATGAACCCTAGAGTTGCTGGGATATAGGGTATTAGGTTTTGGTCTCCTGCACTGCCCTAAGTAAACAGATCCATGACAGAAGTCTTTGGGGCATGTATTTATCTACCGCGGAATACGACAGAAAGCATAAGTTACTGAAGGTCTTAAATGTTCATGTACACAACTCCCTGAGATACATGCTATTTGCACTGGCCACTCTAGAAAGAGGAGCTCTTCAAGAAAGTCTGGTTTGAAAGACACAGTCACCTCCCAGCTGGGGGATTACTTCACTGACCACAACTCTAGCTCACTACCTAAACTTACCCTCAGTAACTTGCTTTGTTCTTTTGGGATCACCATAATTCCTGTTCAGGATTTCTGAATTTGACCCAGATGAAAAACACAACTTAAACAAGGACCGAACGCCACTACATCATCTGAGTTAACATCATTCCAAACGGCGACGCTCTCTAACAAAATGTCAGGTAAAAATATAGCCTTCAAAATTACATAAATAAGCTAAATCAAAGAGAACAAGAAGAAATGAGTCACCTGCTTTAACATGATGCATGCCTTAAGAGCTACATCTTAGGTATATATGTACACACTAGTAATACGTAAAAGACTTAAGTCCATAAACTACTCCCTTGCTTAGGTAGCTGGCCAGGTGAACTTAACCCAAGAAAAATTTCATCCGGGCTGTCAAGAATGGTGTCTCAGGTGAGGTGGCTAGTTAAAACAATTGGACATTGTTTTGGATCACAATAGCTTTCTATCTATATCCAAACTACAATCTGCAAAGTTAATTTCTGCATCCCTCTACACTCTGCATGTTAGTGTGTATATCCTGTACATCTCCAAGCCCCCACCAAAATGTTAGTAAAATGAAAAAGCACTTATCTACAGGAAACTTATGTGGGTTATCATAACAACATGGAGTACATTTAATTAATCACACTTCCTTTGATATAAATGACCATCTATGGTCACAGAGAGAACAGTGAATTAAATGACTACCAATAACACAGCAATCAGAACAAACCCCCAATTATTTTTGTACTACAAAAGTTTGATGATCTAAATGCAAATATATTAGAAAATCCGACAAAATATATCCACTTACGATTTCATCAAAAAGATGGAAATTTTAAAACTCAAATGTTCCCAGTAAGTGGTTATTCTTAATACTGTGTTGAAGGTTCAAAGTAGAAAATATTTTAAATCATACTGTATAATTAAATAGTAACAAAACAATTTACTTACTTCTGGATACCCTCACAAGTTCGGACACATTGAAGACTCCAGATTTTACAAAACTATCCTCCAGGTAACCTGAAAATAAATATCAAGAGGAAAAAGATCAGCATAAGCAGGAAGCAAATAAATGATTAAATGCTAGGATTTGTTCAAGTGCTTTTAAACCAAAGGTTAGAAAAAAACCAAGTGTGCTTGTAACAATCACAAGTAAAAGCAAAACTCTTTGAATGCAATCCGGGGTCTGTTTAAACAAAAGTAAGAAGTTGAGATGCCAAATAATTTCCTAGGGAAATTTTTTTCCCCACTTGCTAAATGTACAGGGCAACTGGAATGGTTTTATTTGCCACGGCTCACGCATAGAGAATGAAGACTCAGGGGTTCTTACCGAACGCATTCAGCTCGGTAGCACCTGGTAGACTAAAGTCTACCCATTTATAAAAAAGAAAGAAAGAAAAAGGAAAACCACAACCACAATTAGAACCTTGTTGGAGTTACTTCAAAGATTTCTTGAAACCACTGTTCTTTCACAAATCCTTCCCTGATTAAAGAAAAGCGAACTGCTGTTAGCAGCACTCCCCCCACCCTTGTTCCAAGGTCATGAATCACACAAAAGCAGAACTTGCCCATACAGCAGATACTTTGCATAGACCTATTTCCATGCACTTTTGCTATACCTCACATGATTCCACTGCTCTCTCACTCTTGCTACTACTTCCGTGGACTCCCTTCATTTCGAGAACTGCATACTTTTTCTAGCAAACGGTGATAAATCCGGGCCCCCAGGAAAGCCACGTGACCCTTCCGTGACATCCAAGTGCAGGGTCCACAGTGACTGGGGCCCACTGTTCGAGAGCCTGAGTAAGTTCTGTGCTGTCTGGGGTCTGGTCAAGCTGTGTCCAGAATTAGAAATGAGGACTCCCACAAATACCCAGTCACCTCCCCAGCTTCTCATTGATGTGCAGGAGGTGTGCTGAGGGCAAAGAGGGATGGAATACCAGGAAGAGAATAAGGAAAGCCCCAAAACCCTCAGAATGCAAATGTTTCCAGGAAAACAGACTCTAGATTCTAAGAACCGGCAACTGGATCAGATGTTACATCAAGTTTTGAGGCTAACCAGGGGGATTCGATTCAGGGCAGGACTGTGAGTCATACGTGGCTTAGTTCTCAAGTCAGGGAGCTGGAATTTGACACCCAACCACACTTTATCAGCGTGGAATCCTGATCATGTTATTAGACTCCCGGTGTCTCAGACTCCTCATTTAAAGACTAGAGATAACTGGGGCGCCTGGGTGGCTCAGTCAGTTGGGCAGCTGCCTTCGGCTCGGGTCGTGATCCCGGGCTCCTGGGACGGAGCCCCGCGTCGGGCTCCCTGCTCCGCGGGGGACCTGCTTCTCCTTCTCCCTCTGCCTGCCGCTCTGCCTACTTGTGCTCTCTCTCTATCTCTCTGTCAAATGGATAAACAAAATCTTTTAAATAAATAAATAAATAAAAACTAGAGACAATAAAATTATTATGAATAAGTGAGATAAAAACATAAAATCCATAGTAGGCACTGATTAAATGTTCCCAATGAGTGAGGATTGGCCAGCGGGGTCACCAGTCACCCATACTTTGAATTACGCATGCTGGATTCCAGATGGTCTCAAATTATATGTAAATCTTTATTTAGCAATTTTACCAGAACAAAAGCTGCCACACTACTTTTTAACTGTACATAGCATGAAAAGACAGAAAATCATTCAATCAGCTGCTATGCTTTACTGTTGTGAACTGAGGCGCCATGCTTGTCTGAACACTATGATACCCATCGATTACCTTCTTTAGAAACAGAACAAAAGAAAGAGTGTGAAGGAATTATGAGATCTCAGCTGGTGATAAAACTTAGGTATCAGATTAAGTCCTACTTGGAAAAAATAGACATTTTTAAGAGGGTAACAACAAAATGTCCCCATTTGATGTACCTATATTTTAAGAAACTCCTACTTTTCAACAACTTAACTTTTCACCAGGTTGAATGCGTTTCAGTGATTATTGAGAAACTTTTAGGTAGCCTACACTGTACAAGGTACTTAAAGCCATGAAGACAAAAAAGGGACTTTGAGTCCCTTTGTGTGGTTGGGGGAAAAAGATATTTTCAATTTTCTGAACCATGGTAGGTTATCATTGTATAAAACAACGACAAATGCAATACACATCTTTGTAAAGTATGATAAATTATACTTTATATACAGTAAATATAAAATTTTATCCTTGGCAAATACATTAAATATGAAGACCTTATTTATCTTGATGGCAGCTCATATACTTAACCAATCAGACAAGATTATTTGTCCTCACCCAACTGTACTCTGTAAATGCCTGCCCTCCTACCTTTCTCATGCAGCTCCCTCCATCTGATCACATGGCTCTCTCTCTCTCTGCATATTCTGTCTTCGTCCTGCAATGTCCAGCTCAACCACCAACCTCTCTGTAACCCGTTCCTCTACCCTCCTTTTCCAATCCCTGTGCCAGCCAGAAATGATCTCTTTCTTCTGAATTCACAGGGCACCTGGTCTGTACTTATTTACATCACTGTACACATTCAAGTGTCCAGGATATCTGTTTTCAAGTCTTGTGTTCCTTATTGGATTATCAGCTCCTTTATTTGGGAGAGTGACTGGGGAATCTCCCTTAACAACCAATTCAGTGCCTATATATATACTAACCACTAAATGAATGCTTACAAAGAACAAAATTTTAAATTTTAACCTTTTGGAACAGGGTCATAAATAAGCATCTTAGTAATTATGTAACAATATAGGTATAGATGGCTTAAGGTTGAAGGATAACTATACTGACTCCTGTTAGTCCCTGGAACTCATCTGCTGAGGAGTTTATTCAGGCTTTTGGGTAGAAGGGGAAAGAATGATGATCAGATGACTTTGTTACGTACTAGTGTACAACTTTAGGCATTTGGTACAAAGTCACTACCAAGAAACTAGAAGTGTTTAAAGGATCAGAGTTCAAATAAATATATTTGTAAAATAAATTGATAAGTGAGTGACTAGGGAACATTTCAATATATTTATGTAAATTAAATCATGTGTCATACGTAATAACATTTTAATATGTAGGTATCATCTGAAGTTCATTTCCTTATCACTCCAGTGAGTAGTCAAGGCTCCATCTGCTTCATCATACTCATGAAGATGGAATGGTGAGCGGACCTCAGGAGCCGAATCATACGGGTGGGAGGAGGCCCCTCAAACTAATCCTACTAGCGGAAGACAGGCAGTCACACACAGGCAGATACAATGCCTATCTCACAGAAAAGGGAAAGCAATCCGGAATGTAGGAGGGTGCTTCTCCATCCCTCACCTCAAGTTCCGAGGAATCTGAATCAACAAGGAAACCTGAAAGAGTTATTTTGCTGAAACTATGAAAGGCACTGCAAATATGTCAGAACTGCTTTGGCACCCACTTGACAAAATGCAACACCCACAGGTTCCCCCGGGCTCCAGTCCTGCATGGAGCATAGTGAGACTTCACAGAAAGGAGGGCCCCCTAGGATGAGCGGTAACGCGCCCCCCCACATGACCTTATGTGAGTGGGGGCTAGGAGGAATCAGGCAACTGCGTAACCTGGGAGAAGCACCCGAAGCAGACGGCTGCCTCCTCCATTCATCTTTGCACACAGCACAGCCTTACGATGGACAGGCATTACCCGAGATGAGGAGGGCAAAGGGAAGAAACAGTGGAGGACAGAGGACTTGGATGGCTAATAGCATACAAGAAAATATACAAGAAAGAATGCATAAGGACTCTGGCAAAATAACCGGGGAGAATCATGCAGAGTGTCAGGAGCCCTGTCAAAGTACAGAGGATGAGACTCAGCAAAAATGCAGGTTATTACTATTAACACAACCCCATTTGTAACCTCCAGGCTGCTGGGGCCTTCCAGAAGCATGGTTTTCATGTGTTACCTAGACCACTGTGAATCTAAGTAGCTGATACAAAGGCCAACGACTTTAAATCAATTTGGAGACATTCATATAGTGAATTCCCTTCATCTACCAAAGGAAATATGAGCATCTCTTAGGCAGAGCAGCTGCTTAATGGTTACAGAGCAATATTACACAACAGCTTAAGCCAAGAAGCAAAGAACAACTCGGCATTTATGTGATGCTGTATTTACACTACATGTAATGCTTTTTAAAAAATAAAATTGAGTAGGAAATAAAGACCTCTGCAAACTGAAAATTCTCAAAGGCAATATCAAATTATATTATTTTACTTCTTTTTTTTATTTTTCTCTAACAAAAGCAACAATAAATCACTACTCAGAAGTTAATATAGTGTTTAACCTCCTTTACAAACAATAACAAAGGGACACAATGGCATATCTAACTGTTAATATCTCAAATTATAATCAGCTCCATTTGAATGTTAAACAACATTTACATAGAAAATCCAAAGGAAAACTGATAACGCTCATTTTTATAGTCTACTGTGTTCTATTCTTGAAATTAAAAAAGAGAAAACCACAGAAAGCAGTTATTAAATTCATGAAAGCTGTCTTCAAGTATTAGAAGGACTGTTAATGTAGATGTTGGATAAGACTTCTGCATAGTTCCAGGAACTGTTTTTTGGCTCAATAACCAGATTTGTCATCCAATAAGAAAAGTCCTAGAAGGGAATGGGAAACCTTGCAAAGGTAGTAACAGCCAACACAGGCCAAGCTACTGCTCTAAGATCTTCAAAAGCATTAATTCACATAATGCTCCTAATTATCCTACCGGTTGTCACGCAAGCGCTCCCATTTTACAGATGAGGAAACTTGTGTCTACAGAGGTAGGGGGTTTCCCAGAGGCAGTAAAGACCCCCCCCATTAGATTTAAGAATTCTCACTTTGGGTAGGAAACTGAATTAAGAGCACCTCCGAAGCCCACTGCAATGCTCAGGTTCCACTTTTTTTTTTTTTTTAAGATTTTATTTATTTATTTGAGAGAGAGAGAAGAGTGTGCCTGTGCACATGCACAAGCGGGAGGGAGGGGCAGAGGGAGAGGAAGAAACGGGCTCCCTGCTGAGCAGGGAGTC